AAAAAAAAAAAAAAAAAAAAAAAAGAAAAAAAGAAAAAATCATGTTTTCCAGAACGAAAGAGTTGAAAGAAAAAAGAAGAGACACCGAACGAATGAAAGAATCACTCACCTTGTGCGTAGAATCAAAGACGATCTCTCTCCGAAAGTCCTCCGTTAATTCGTACAACTCGTCATCTCGCGGCTGCCTTTTTTTTCCAATTTCCAAATATCCACGTTTGTTGCACCACGATCCTTCGTGAACCGCGAGATGAATGACGCGCGAGTCGATGTCTGTTTTCAGAAACTATTCTGGAAATCGGTTGCCGATCGTGGCACGTTCTCGAGAGGGAGTAAGTCCTGAGGACGCGGATGGCTCCTACTTATAAAGACTTGGCCAAGTCTTGGCTCTCCAATTGGCTTCCAAGTGTGTGTGTTCAACGTCTACGTAAGTCGGTACCCCTTGTATGTGCGTACGTGTGCGTGTCTGCGCTTATACGCAAGAAGGAATCGTGGCTTCGTCCAGGTGGAAGGGGGCACAAACTCTGTTTCGATCGTTATACGCTCGATGCTGTTACACATTACATCAAAGAAGATCGAAGAAATCGGCTCATTTTCCTTCCGAATCGGTCTCCCTAGAATTTCCATCCTTCTCGATCGACCCTCTAAGTTTGAGTACAACAATCGTTGAGTAATAGATTTCCAATTCGTCTAATATTAAATGCCGCATTATGAAATTATTATGAAATTATATTTCCATTATAACATTATGAAATTTTTCATAACAATTTTGTCATTTGTAATTTCTGGCCTGTGTCATCGCATATTGAATTGATATCGCATACGTGTATCCTAAAAGAGAACATTATACTTATAATTGTAATTATTACTTATAATTATAGAGTTTCGTTATTGAAAAATAGAGAAAGATCTATGTATATAGATGATGTATATAGATGTCGCTTTATCCACGAATAATCGAGAATCGATAATCTGTATACATACGATCGATCTTTGTATAATCCTATACATTTTATTACATTCTATTATATATCCAGTGTCGTGAATCGAAATTTCTCGGGGATATTTTAATTAGCACTCGTTTCGTTCGTTTCTTTATTTTATATCATTTCCATAAAATGTGCTTATCAAAGTAGTATCTTTACAAAGATAATAAAATATGCATATTAGTGACTCGTTTCAAAGCAAGCGGTTTTACTTCTATCAGAAATAGTTAGATTATCAATAATCGAAGTACGGAAAATTCGATAAACAGAATCATATATGACGATTAAAGAAAAATATATTATTATACTTTATTTTCCGATTCATTTCGTTAAAATTATTTTTCTGTTTGTTTTAAAAAAATTAATTCCTCCACTATGGAATTATTTTGCATAAATAGGATATTTTATAAGCTTCGAACATTCCAAAAATGTTGGATACTTATTCTTTTAGAGAATTAACATTTTTCGCAGATAAGTCGCAGTTTACGATGATAAGCGTGACGAAACAGAATCTCGTCATAAATCTGGAGTGACAAGAAGCAGAGCCGTCTGATCGTTACAAATCATGCCCGTCCTCGAAGCTGCATCTGCATTCTTCTCTTTTTTTTTTTTCTTTTATTCTTCGCTCCTTCTTCTTTCTTTACGAAACGAGCACATTATTTTTCCACGAGAGTACACATCAACTGGTTCCATTATTAATATCTCAATCGATATATGATCTGGAAAAAAAAAATTCGATGCCTATCGGAAATCGAGCCACCAGTTGTTATTTTATTTTTCGAATCATTTGTTTGTTTATGGAAACATTAAAGTTAAAATAATATTTAATTTGACAAATCAACCGTTGATAACGATCAGAAATTCTATACAGATTTATATACGATATTATTTTATTTCCTTGTTTGCGCCAGTTTAAATCACGTAAAAAATCCTTTCTCCAAAACTTTTATTTCTAAAAGAAATATTCGTAACATTTTTTCGTTGGAATTATTCGATTAAGTCAATTTCATTTAAAAAAATTCTAGCATATTGATTTGTACGTTTATTTAGGAATTAAGAAATAAATCTTGACATATTTTAATCGTCGAGATATGTAAAAAAAATACAATGTTTGAAAAATTAATCGCTCTTGAAAATTTGATCGATGATGATAAAACATATCTTAAGCAATATAATTTATACAGATACTAAATGGAAAGATTCGAAGACGCAGTCTGTTTTTTTTTTTTTTTTTATTAATTTGCTTATATTATTTTAACTTTAACATTTTTTTTAAAACGTTCCAATTAAACGTGGAGAAATGAATTTTTATTGATTTTATGATTTTCTATTTATTCTATTTATTATTCCAAATCATTATGATAAAAAATTTATTCGAATTCATTAGTTGAAATATTTTCAAACATCCTAATCGATGTTTAACAGATAATTTATTAATTGTCATCCAAATTCTAATTTTAGGAAAAGAGTCAACGATTTATAAACAGGATAAACAAGAGTTCATCGAACTCTAGAAATAAAATTGTCGATGAATAAATTAAATGAAAAAAAAAGAGAGAGAGAGAAACATCGATTGTAATTTTCCTTAAAAAGACTCGCGTTCTCCAAGATCAGAAGACATGGATTATCAAATTATGGATTATCAGCGATTGTTTCTCACGTGTTCGCGTACGACGTAAATTCCAGAATAACGAAGCAACCTGTGGGAATTCACCGTGCATGCCCTTTCCTTCTTTTTTCTTTCCGCCATCCAAGGATGCTTGTGGACAACGCCTTGTCGATAGAAGCGTTGAACTTACTAGAGAAGCCTTGGCATATAACGTACGTGTTTGCAACCGATGGTAACAGTATAACGTAATAAATGTACAGGATTGCGGTAAACGAAACCCTCAACTCGGACCCTCGTTTCTCGGATCGTGCACGTTATTATTTTAAAAGCAACAGGGCTGCTAGTAAACGTCTCTTAGTAATATGCGATTATGGCGAATGAGTCTAAACGAGAGGAGATTCGTTTAACTTTTATTCGCTTTTGTTTTTATTACGCGACTATTCGGATCTCGTTCGAGGATTGGAAACAGATATACCAAAGATATTATAGCGTCAAATAGGAAAAGGAAAATTTTTAAAAGATTTCTAGTAACAAGATTTTACGATTTTTGCGATAAAATTATACAATCTTCGGAAGATTGGAAATATGTTCGTTCAATGAAACGAAATTTCTTCGCCATTCGAATGTAAACGAGACGATGGTTAATTGTGTGTCAAATGTGTGGCAAAGGAACGAGCGAATAACAGAGTGGTCGTCGGTGTAAAAACACCAGTAGAAAACTAGGTAGTGGAATACGGTTGCAATGGGCAGACAGAGGGCCGGTGCATCTCGGCGTGCATAGAGAAAATATACGATCGCAGAGAAAGAGAGTACAATGGACCGTATCTCAAACCCTCGGTAACCATAAATGTCTGAAAGGAAAAATCTTTCCGGCTGTCCAACCGATTATAGCTGCCGTTTTACCTTAGATTCCACTAAGGGAGAAGGCGATTCATTCCACGGAAAAGTCTGTGAATTAACGAGCATCGGAATAAAGCGCGGAAGTGCGGCCCTTTGGGCAAGGCCTCGTGTACCAGGCTTGATCCATGAATTATTCCGCTACAAACGGCTAACTCGATTCTTCTGTCTTTCACATTTTTCCATCAGCCAGAAAAGAAACCACCGATGGGGGTTGCAATGGATGTGCTTAGGAACGATCCACACTATTCTTTCTCGGAATTTCTATCCTACTCGTCCTCCGAGTCGTTGACTTTTTTTTGTTCGATAATAATCTCAAGTCGAATAAAAATTCCATTTCATTTTCTTTATCCGTTTTCTTGAATTCCTGTAAATAGTAAATAAAGGGAAGAAGATCGCGCGATTCGAAAGACGGGGGGAAAGAAGAGAGGCGCCAGGCGAGAAAGTGAACAAAGTGTGCACCTGTTACCACCTCGGTATAGTGGAGCATCGTACGAATAATGACGAGGAATAATAAAGATCCTCCATAAATCCTCCTTACCGTCCTTCTTTTTTTCCTTTTTTTCTTTTTTTGTCTTTCCTCGAGCCAAACGGTCGTACAGGGAGTGCAAACGAGAGGGAACCCTTGCTTGGAAGGCTTCGAAACCGGGCGCAACCTATAAATAACCACCGCCTCTTTGCATCTCTTTGCGCTTCTTTTCTTTCTCTTCTGTTCTCGTACCTCCGACGCACACGTTTTCGCGTTCAGAGACCCCGTAATTCAGGTTCCTTCGCACGTACGCGCGTACAATCAGCGCAATTAATGTCTGTACCTTGAAACGTACTCGGCCCTTGTCTTTGTAGTTAGTTATAAAAATATATACGTTTCAAACGCGAAGAATAAACATGCCACGGATAGTAATCTCTTCCTTCGATTTAATTCGGCACGGTTGAGTACGTTTGCATCGGTCTACTGCGCGCGAAAGAAGATGCACTCGCGAAGAATAAACGATCGCAGTTAGAAGATAATTATATATCGAAAAACGGTTTTTCAACGGAATTTTCACTTTTTTCCACGAATGTAAACGTTGTTTCGAAACGTTGATTCGTCGTATCAACCCGGTTGGAAATTATAATACGACGTTTAATCACAATCGTGTAATCATGTAGTCGGATGAGGTCTGCATCAGAAAGCCTTTCCGAGTAAAGCGAGAAACCGCAGGCGTTGAAGATATGTTTAAGTGGTGGTTGCCAGTTTCGAATTCATTACAGGAGGCGATTATTTATTAGCCCGGGTCGTAGAGCGAAAATGTGGCAATTCAACGAGAAAGAAGGAGAAAGAGAAAAAGTTTTATCAACTCCTTCGAATTAGGAAGGACTATGGAGCGTATTCTTTTAAGGAAGATAATAAGCGTATGGGAGAAGCAGCCGTAAACAGATAATGACTTGCACAAGTTTTATAACGATCCTCAGTGGAGGATCATACGACAGGTAATAACCATCGATGATACCTTAAAATAATTCAATTTCGCTTCCTTTTACGAGGAAAAAAATTAGCCATGATTTACAATCCAGATAAAATTGAAAGTAAAATTGGATAGAATATAAAGCCTAAAACATAATGGTACGAATTTTTAAACTTTAAACAAAAATTTTATGGAATATTTAGCTAGTTAATTAAATATAATCTAAAGATTATAATATACATTGTGAATAAAATATAAGATAATTTTTTTAATATTTTCTTTACTTACATTTTTATAACACAATATTAATTCAATTTTTAATTTAATATAGAAATACATTTTTTAAACATTTTTTAAATTATTATTTATCAGCATGTAATAAATAATAAAAATTAAATCAACATCTTCGTTCGTTAATTTTTTTGGATATTTTTGGAAATTTTTTTTTTTTGGTTAATAAAATGTCTCAAGAAATCACTTTATTCCACATTCCACAAAATAACGCGAAATTTTATCATCTCATCTCGCACCTAAACGTGAAAACGAAATTTACTCGTACTTAAGGTATCACGATAAAAGTTTAAAGGCTGGAGAACGGAGCGGCGTGCAAAGAAGATGCCCTCGTGAATCAGCCAGAAATCACTAATAATTTTCTTACCTCCCTAATTTGCTACCTTAATGACTGGACATGATATGCAAATGAGTGAGCAACCATTCGGCCGTTATAATGTCCGGGCGACAAGACCAGTCGGTCAAGTGTACATTTTTGGCCTGGTCCATTGAGTTCATCTACACGGTGGCGAAAACGTATCGTCGATGGGTTATTGCCGTTTAAAGGGACGATAACCGGCAAAAGAAGTTGGATCTGAAAAAAGAAAAGAAAGATCGGTTATGAGATTTTGATTGGACGTCGAAAAGGAAGCCGTAAGTGTTCGAGAACAAAAACTTTTTACTCGATCACGAAACTGCTCTGCGAGTTAGAAACGCGAGTAATTACCGGATTGAGGAAAGAGGAAACGGGCAGTCAGCCAGCCATTGAAGTCGAGGTCGTCGTTGATTTTTGGCTAACGTATGCGAAACAGGAATTATTAATGTAATAAGTCGTTGGCGCATAATCTAACATGAGTAATTAGCGAAAACGTGCTATATATCAACAATATTAATATTTATATGGAAACACGAGATAACGAATTTAGATTTTAGATTCTTTGGAAGAGACACGTGTATGCACGTGTATGTACGTAAATGTTGTGAGTTTTAACGAACTGATAACAAGTCTAATACAATTACCACGTGAAATTATACGGAAAGAACAAAGATAATGAACTAACGAGCGTTATAAATGATCAAGGAAGATCGCATCTGATTGAAAAAACCAAGCATTATAATCATTATAATCGTTCAAGGATATTGTTGAGAAAAATAAATTCTTTTTCCCAAGCAATATAAGATTATTATAATTTTTTTAATTAAACGAGCGATCCTTCGAGCTCGATGAAAGATCTTCCAAATGTATCTCTTGACTGAACTCGTTGAAATCTAACAAAAAATTCGTTATTAATTTCGAGAATGATAACAATCGTGACGTATCACAATGATGCATCACGCGAAAAAGAATTTGGGTCGAGGAACGTTTAAGAGGAATTTGAACCTCGAGCGGCCGCCTCGCATGAATGCAATCATTCGCATTTCACGCGCCAAAGAAGGCAAGGGTTTATGTAAATTGTTTTCCCAACTTTCTGCTTCATTGTTCATCGGACGGATGTCCATCCGAGAAAGAATCTACGTTTAGGAAATAACGGTTCATCCGAAAACGTTTTCAATACCGATGGAGAAAACGAAATTTTACATCAAAACATTGTTTCAAACTCGTCCTTTTATTTTATATAACTTAAGGATGTAATACCAACCTTTTAAAAAAAGTTTCGTTGATTTTGAATTACGTGATTAGAATTACATGATTCGATCGTAATTCATAATCTATATAAACTTAAACCGCTTCAAGGTTCTTCGTACTATCGGTTCTTTTCTGTTACGGCCGTGGCACGAACGAAACATATGATCGCTCCATGCCTTACAATAACGTAAGTCCATCTTTTTTGACGTTCGTAATGACCGTGGCCTAAACGGTTCACGTACAATCGCATAAATCATGTAGTTAGCTATTAATTATCGGTAATTACATCTTTACGAGTAAACGCACCTCGTTCATTGCCAACGATCCATCGATTATTCTATTAATTACACGAAATTATGACACTACTAATAATTCGTATCCTCGTGCGGTTGAGCGTTGAGCGGTGTCTGGGAGGGGGGAATCTAAACGAAGATTCGTTCGCGTCTGGTAACGGACCCTGAAAGAAACGTGCGGAAAAATAAACGCTACACAAGGACACGCGTCCGTTCGAGTACTATAGGTAAAAGTGTCACCAGTCCTCAGATTGCAGAGTTCTTTTATTCATTTATTCCGCGTACACCGACCCATCCTTCTTGAAAGATTCATTCAACATTCCCGGCATTTTTACCCGGCCGAATAGAAGGCGCGATCGCGATTCCTCCCTCATCAACTCGACACGCGATCACCGTCCTCCTTTTCGTCCTATGACGTTTCATTCCGGTATCCACGCCTTCGTATTCTATTCGAATCTCGATTCGCCAGAAGACCAATGAATTTTTCTGCAAAAAAAAAAAAAAATCAGAATTGTCGGCCCACTGATAAAGATGAAAAATTAACGGCGACAGCGGGTACAACAGTTTTATCGAAACGATCTTTTATCGAATCCGAAACGAACGTGAAAATATTTTGTAAAGATAAATCGTGAAACGTAAAATCGGTGAATTTCCATATGTTGACGGACGAAGTGTTATCAACGACCACGTTACATATTCTTTTTATCCTCGTCTTCCTATTTTTTTCCTCCTTATTTCCTCTTTTCCGTTGCGCGGATTATTCGAGTATTTTTATTATTCGAGATTTTTTTAAATAACGCTGCAGGTAAGTAAGAGAATCTTGGCGATTCGAGAAATCCTTGAATTCCTTCGACTCCCACCGACTAAGCCCCTCCTTCATAGATAGAGAGATCGAACTGTTGAAAAAAGCTTGGCCGAATACTTGTAGCCGTTTCTGATACAGCACCGTTAGATATGCTTAATAAATTTTCTATTTTTGAAAATCATTTCTATCTTGTATTTTTTCGCTTCTCCGTATTCTTTATCTGTTAAGTTGAGACGCCTGTTTTATAGGGAACGGAGATCGATTGAATCACTGACTGACGCGAGTATTATTAACTGTTATTAACTATTATTAACTATATTATTAATTATTTATAAAATTCCAACGGACGTATTTGCATCCCGCCAACGTAATCTTCCGCTGTATCGGATTGGAGATCGATGACGCGCATCTTTGACTGTTTATGGCGAATAATATCGTGTAGAGGATAACGAATTATTGTATTAGAGATATTAGTTAAGAAGAGGAATTGCGATCCACTTGAAAAATTGTACATCGCGGAAAGAGATGTTATTCTCAAAAAAAAAAAAACGGGTCAGTATCTCGAGCGTAGGTGTAAAGCGTACGTATATTGTATCGCGTGGAAGATTATCCTTGACCCAGAAGAAAACTGGATTCCGTGACCGAAATTATCGGACAGCGACAAGGTTCGTTGGTATTTCACGGATGAGATTCGGATTAATCGTGATACGAGATATTCATAATTGGTGGTTTGCATACGTATCGTCTGAATTTCACGAGAACCACCCTGTATCCTTGATATATCATGCTTCCGTGTGTCAAGAAAATATGCGTATAATGTACCGGTGTCGAAAAGCCACTCTGCCAAGAAATATCAACAACGTAAACATCGGCCATTACCGATACATCTGATTAATATAACGGTCACGGGATCACATTTTGGATCGTGTCGAGTCATCGTCCAAAAAGATCGATCGATTCTCTACGAATGACGAATGCATTCTTTATAGAGTCCTTATTCGTTTATTTCATATATTCTATGTAATCTTATTTTTACTTCCTCCATTTTTTTATAAATTTTGTAAATTTCTCGTTAATATTCCTTTTTATCGATATTTAAATGACTCGTTCGAATGATCTTGTGCAATTTTGCAACATTTATGAAAAAAATAAGAGATAAAAAGCATATGGCATAACTTTTTAGCATAAATTTGTGTTTTGATCTCTTGAATAAGATGTAACGGTGTTTTCTCAAACTTGTAACCTTTGATTAAGAATATTTGCTACATGAAGAACATGAAGACGTATCCGAAAATTGTTGTTGAAGGCATTTGGTTAGATCAAACACGTTCGACTTAATTTTATATGAATAATTACATATTTATATCTTGAAAATTCCTATAATAAAAAAATAGAAATCTAATGATAGAACAGAAAAAGTTTAGTTTATGATAAATTTTTAACTTATAAAAATGTAATAAAAAATTAATGGATAATATTACATGTATCGGTAACTGGTGAATTAAAATTCCAATGTGTAATTTTATCTTCGAATAATTTATAGTTATGGAATTCGTTGACAAATAAAATCCAATGATTTAAGGAGATCGAGCACGATATCTGCATATTTAAACATCGAATCAGTGACGTCTGAAGTCTCTGAATTATTCCACCCAAGTTGAAATAAAAAAACTTTCGTGACATAATAATTAATCTTCAATGCATAATTGGATATTACATAATATTGAATTCAGGAAGAATAAAACAGGAAGAATAAAATTAATTCCAATCAATAATTTTTTTGTTTTCTTCCTCGCGTATAATTGATTCATCTTTGGTGATTGATATCTAAAATTTCATTTTATCTCTGTGAAATTTCTAATTCTTGTAAATTGTATTCATATATCAGAAATTTTTATCTGCTAATATTCTTGATTTTGTATGTAAAATTGGTATCTTTTACATATGTAACATATTACATATTCATCTTCGTTTCATCATTCTTCTCCAGACGATTATTGAAAACTTGGTATCCTAATAATTGTTTCTTGTATACAAGTGTTTCTGTTGTATCGTTCGATAAATCTTGCTAAAGGTTTGGCCCGCCAAAAAATACTAACGGTAAAGAGTTGACGTATCCTGGCTGCTTCGAGCGGCAATAAAAAGGTACGAGTGTGTAAATTTGCCTGCGTCGTGTACGAACTGATACTGCTATCAACCATGTACAACGTTCCTGGGAATTCCAACGGACATTTTCGGTCGCTCGATGCCTCGGGCGTTACACTTATTATGTTAATTACACGAAATTATGCTAATGCAGATTAATTTATGTTAATCGTCCCGAGAAAAATGCAAAATATTCCAGTATTACTTAACGTTACTATCGCGAATCTAGTTGGAATCTAATAGACAGAATTACTATTTGAGTGTGGTTGTTACTCATGAAACGCGTTGTATAGCAGTTGCTAGATTTGTCTTGGAAAAACATGGCATTAACGGTATAAAGGGGTAGTACTGCAAGGCAATAAAGAAATGCACAGAGGTGTACAAATTAACAGACGACGCGTTCCCTCATGCTGATTTCCTCGCTCGCATAACGTTTCAGGATTTTTGTTTTAAAAGATAAGTTTCTTTAACGCAACGGTCGATGAAATTTTCTCGATTAAACAAAAAGACATCTTATACTTTAACAAAACTACCTAATCGAATCGATGATTAATTAATTGTTTGTAATGGGATTTAATCTACAAACATATTGCAATACAGTTATCATATGCAATATAATTATAAAAATGTTTCTACGTGGAAAAAAAATCAAATATATCATTTAATGCACATTTAATCTGCATTATTTGCATTGTTTGTAATATATTGATATTTTTCTAAAGAAGATACAATTGATAATATGCGATATGGTAAAAGTCTCACATTTTTCATTTTAATCTTAATCTTTTGTTAAATACCGTCTAGTCAGAGCTAATTAATTTTATGACATAGTAGAACCCAAATAAAGTCAAAATAAATAATTCTTACCTAATTAATCTCTTAAAAATTACGAAATGTTTACTCTTACTTTAAAAAATTAATATAAAATCTAATTAACCTGAAAAAATTTAATTCAAAACAACATATTTCAATTATCTTTCGTCAATTTTAAAAATCCTCGTATAAGGTCAAATAAGGAAATTCTTCAAACTTTCATTCGAATCTTTTGATTCTCGTAGCAGCCGACTTTATGATTCAGATACAGTTAACCGGTAAATTCAGCCTCCTCTGTGTTGCCAGTTACTTTTTCATTGAGTTTTACTTTCAAATCTTTTGATATTTGATATCTTTCATAAATTCGAGGATAATTTTTCACGCTGACAAATTTGGCTTTTTAGTCTATAAATATAAAAATTTGTCTATCTTCATCTAGAATTTTTTAATTCAACCTACAGTAGCACACTCGACGTTATTTATGTCATCTTGATCTCGTCAGAACAATCCAATCAACGACTAATTATATGTCTGAAAAAGAAATTATGTGGTAAAGAGTTGTTGAATTGTTTACGATCTAAAAAAACCGATTTCATAAGGAGCATTTAGATCGAAGATAAAGAAACATAAATTAGACGGATGCAAATTTTTGAAAAAGTCCTTGGCCCAGAGAAGAGCTATCTTCGAGAAGATTTCTTCTTACCTTTTTCGTAATCTGATCGCCGATCTGTCGCTCTTGAACTTGATCTTTGACTACTTTATGCCCCTCTTTAACATCGATCCCAGAGACTCAATAAATATAGTAGTCTACGTGGGCAGTTGGAATTTATTCGCTGGCACGAAAGGGTCGTTAACCAAGTAAAACGTGCTTCGGGCATCGTTTCCATAGAGAAACATGAACAGCTAAAGAGCGAAAGAGATAAAGAGAGAGAACAGAGAATCGACGACTTTGGCTCCTTGAAAAATAATGAAACACGTTGTAATGTCCTCGCTAAATGTTGTTCCGTTGGATCTCCATGATGTCCTCAACTTCCTAGGAACGATTTCTTCGCTTGACGTTCTTCGCTTTAGGGTTGCACAAGTTTGTTGCTTTTACCACAAGGAAAATTACAATCTAAAGTATCTTGTGTAAATTTTATCGCTGATAATTTCTTATAAGATATCTTTGAATATAATATAATCTTTCTTTTCTTACTGTTTTTTAACGTAAGAATAATCTTTTTCATCAATTTATATCCTATATAAATTTTTTGTAAAGAATATTTGCATTTTTCATAAATGGACAATCATCTCTCTGAAAAAAAAAAATTAATTAGTATTAATTCAGAATGCATTGGATAACTCTAACAATTAATTACTATCCTCCTTTTAAGATTCTTTTTGCAACGCGAGACGGTATAATAGCATCGTTGCGAAATTTACGCAAATGATACACGCAATCCTCGTTCGTCTTTTTTCTTCTTAATTTTCATCACGTCTCGTGGATGCATGCTGCATCACAAGAATTACTCGGGCTTAGAAGTTACTCTGGTTTGACGATATTTTCTGATTATAGAGCTCGAATTGAAGAGAAGGAAGTTTCAGAAGTAAATAGACTCTGTAAAAGGAAACAGTGAACGTGAGACATGTGAGTACTTGTAAAAGAAATAAAAAAATATACAAGGAAGAGGAATAAAGGACTAAAAATCCAGGTACGAACAACAGGTTTCTTTTTCACAAGAAACAGCACTCCGAGGTTCATGGACAACGATCTGGAGTTGATAAAAGGTTCAACCGCTTCTTTCCTCATCCTTTGTACGCCGCTTTTGGTTGTTCTGACTCCGCTTCATGAGACGCTTTTTAACAACCACGTGTTCCGTTACGAATATTATCATGCAAAGATTCCAAGATGCGAAAAGAAGATGTAATTCTTTGAATTCCAATGGCCTTGTACTTGGGAAATAGAATGCATCGAATCATTGAATTATTATCACATTAATTTCAATATAGAAATTGAAATGATAAATCTATTTTATTGAAATCAATGACAATGTAACATGAATATCAATAATACGTCAAAAAAATTCGTCAAATAATACGAATAAATTCGCAATCTGTAAGTTTAAATCATGATCGATTTGCAAATCATTAATTATTGTTTCGATCGTATTCATCGTGTAGAAATCTCATTCGAGATATGATCAACTGCTTCCCAAGGAAATAGCCTTTCTTTTTCGACCTTCCTTGTTCCTATACGAGATCTCTTGGAGATCGAAATCAAAAGGATTCTATTTGTCAACACAAAATGGAAATTTAAGAATGTTTGATACTTACCGGAAATATTGTGGCCTGACGAAAGAAAGAAAAAAAATATAAAAGATGATTCATTGTTAAAGGATAAACTTCGTGATATTCGTTTTGTTTTGCGTTTCTTCGTTACGTCACACAATCCGCTGATTTTACGTAATTTTTCAGACTCGAGCATTTGGACATAATAAAAGGTTACTTCCGTTACTATCGCATTAGAGACAGCAAAACCATTTTCATTGTCAGATTGTCTATTAGAATAGAAGAAATATAAATAATTGTCTAAAAAAAAAAGAATAAATTGTGTAATACTTGCATGGTAATTTGTCTAGAAATACAATAATTCATTGTATAAGAAATGCTATTTGTTTTCTTTTCATTTTAGTTGAAATTTAAAGATGAAAGAAATTAATTCATCATTTGCTGTATAATTAATAATTATGTTACATTTGTATAATTAATAATTAAATTACATTTCAAATAGAACTGATCAAAATTTGCTTTATGAAAAGTGAAGTATTTGTGCTTTGATATTAAAGTTAAATAATTTTTAATGAATTTTTAAATTCAAACCAGTATTTGCTAATTATGTTGAAACGGAATTTCCAGAATATCGTTTAAAGATTTTAGATTAAGTCTAGAAGAGTTTAAGATTCTCTAAACTTTCTTTTATGTTTAGTAATATGGTACACTATAGCCATCTTGTGGTGAATTATTAGAACTAATTATCTGAAAATTACGACTAAAGGATATTGTGCCATCTAATGATAAAAAGTGGAACTAAAATTAAAAATGTACTTTTCTCAATTTTTATTTTAGTTTTTTAAGATTTCAAATTAGAACTTAAATTAAAAAATAATTTATTAAATTATATATAAGATAATTATATATATATTAAATTATATAATATAAAATAATTGATAAGATTGATTTCATTGAAATATATTTTTATTTATTTATTAGATAGATAGAAAATAAAAACTGAAAATTATTTATTAATTAATTACTAAACAACTTATAACTAAATAAAAATAAATGTTTAAATAAAATCATTTTCAAATCATTTTTTAGAGACTTTTTTTAGAGAATAATTTTCAGAAATTAAAAAATTTATCTTTAAAATTAAAAAATTTTCAATTTTAGTTTCTCCTAT